GTGGCCGTGGGGGTGAGGGGCAGCTGTCCCCACCGTGCCCGCCATCCCTCAGTGCCAGCCTGTCACCCTCCAGATGTCATTGCTCACCCCTTCTTCTTCCCATCAGTGTTTCCCAAGCACTGATGTGACAGCGTGCCAACGACAGACAAGAGTACCTGATGCGGAACCAATTAGGCAAATAAACAATTACCCAGACAATGAGAACAAAGGGAATGAGGACATTTATTTTCTGCGTTAAAAATCAATTGAGATTCCAACGGCACTGTTGGAAGCCAGGCCTCCTCAGGTAACTGTCAGAAAGGTGCCCACCTCCTGAAGGAAAGGCCTTGATGAATCCCAAACACATCCACAGGGACTAACAGGGAAGCTGAGCAGTAGCACTGCAGAGTTACAAAAGGAAAAATAGGAACAGGAAGCAGGGGGAAAAAACCCTCTCTAAATTGGACTTATTCTAAAGAAGACTTTATAACAAGGGACAGGCTGAGCTCACTGGCTCTTCCTGGAGCACGAGCAGCCTGATGGCCACAGGGACTGGCCTTTGGTGGCACCAGGGACCTGGCACATTCAGAGCGTGCCCTCAGCTGCCAGGCATCGTCTTATACCACAAATATTGTGGCTTGCCCACCACAAGAAACACCTCTTGGGCAAACCTTCAGCAAGGGCAGCCCCTGTGAGCCAAAGTGAGCCCCACCTTACCGTGTCCCACCTTCCTCTTGCTTTCCCACCTACCTCAGGCTCCTGTTTCAGCCTCCCAGACCTTCCTTACCCACTTTCTTGGCTCTTGCAAAACCCTCTCATCCTGTTGCTTGGCTGAAAGAAGCCCCACTAATATTATTGCCCAGACACAGGCATCATCACATTTCTCACACGTGAGGTGTCCTAAGAGAGGATGCCCCAGGTGAAGCTGAAGGCCCACAATCCCATACCTTGTCCAGAATCATCCTCTCCCACTTTTCCTGCCCTGCTTGTGTTTTGGACTACTGTACCGTTTTCACCGATGTCTTCCTGGCCATCTTCTCGCTCACAATCGGATAGTTTTTTCCTTTCTTCTTTCCTGTACTCTTGTCCGGTCTCCATTTTGTCCTCAATATGTTCCACACTTGCTTCATGACTTGGTAAGATGATTAACACTGAGCCTTTGCTTGATTTCTGCTCAACACTGCTTCCCCTTGGCTCACTGCGCACTCCATCTCCGCAGGGACCCACGTGCTTTTCCTCATGGTCCTCCTGCACCTTTCTCTTGGGAGGAGATGGCTTTTTGTCCAGACTCATTGCAATAATGCACCTGTGAAATAGCAATGAGGATTGGAAAGCATCAGATTTTTCTTTCTGGGAATAGTGGAAGGACAGCAGACACAGAGAGGCATTCAGCTCGTGGCCAGCAGTGACACCAGGTACCCGTCTGCCTCTGCACTGCCACTCAGACAATGAGGTGACTGATAACTCACTTGGAGGAGCACCCTGAATCCTCAAGAGCTCCACCAACACTGATGCAGTTCTCCCTTGAAGGAGACTAATGCTGTCTGCACTTACAGGTGATGACTGAAGCACAAACAGATTAAAATCCAAACTGACATAAGTGTCCACTAAGCTAAACCAAGCTGTCTGAAGCTACACCAAGCATGATCTGTGAAGATACAGCCACTGGGAGAGGCAGGCAAGCTCCAAGTCAGATGTGTGCTGGATCCAGGCCCTGCTGTAACACCCAGTAAAGTGATAACTCAGGTTTTGTCAAGAAGACTTTTTTTTCTTCTTTAACTTCTCTGCTGGGTCTAGTAACTGTAGGGGAAGAGGGAGACTGACATTGAAATGGAATTATTTTCAATGTCTGTTCTGTTTTTCCTATCTGACAGAAACCCAAACAGTTGGAAAACTAAGCACATAAGAGTGACTTGCTGAGACTGGTTCTCTTGTACAAAAAGGAGTGATGGCCTCTCTAGCTTACCATTAGGAGGCTCATATGAGACCAGAGCCCCTGCTCCTGATTTGATGCTAACTGCAGACACAAAGAGCTACTCCACACCGCCCCTGGGTGTCAGGATGCAAGCAGAGGATGAAGCTGAAACTGGAGCATTCACTTTAGCTAATCACAAGTCTGTCTGGAAAAAAATATTTTATTCACAGGCAACTGTGTCTTAAAACATTTTCCTCTATCAAAACCACCTTTTTCATGTAAGGCTCGATTGCAATTCCCCTCACATTCTAGCTGTTTATAAACTACTGTGAAATATCCTACAGTCATTCAGTCTAGCAATCTTCTTGTTTTGTGGGCATAAAATGTAAATGTGACAATTCCTGAAAAGAGTCCAACCTTGTAATTATTCGTTCCTGGTATTTTTTTTCAGGGACCTTTGAGATATTGAAGCACTTCTAATGTTCAGAAATGCTGGACCTAGCCCAGCAGAAAGCTCGCAGTGCCAGCACCACGGCATCGGTGGGGGAACCCCTGCAGCACCACCTCCTTGTGAATCAGAGCCTCCTTGTGAACCTCCTTGTGAACCAGAGCCTTAACTCAGCAGGGAACACGACCAGGATCAGAGCGGGCATCTATTGTGTGCACGTGGTGTCAGACTCAAAGCAGAAAACAAATACAGCTACATTTGACCTGAAGTAGACGGGAAAATTGTTGTCATTTATGGGGAGAATCTGGTCAATGGAGATGTTTTTAGTCACCAGATCAGGTTGGCTGGACTGACAGGAGACAGGGATATCACTAAGAAAAAGATGGGACAGAAAGTGGGAGTTACTCAGGAAGAAATTTATCAGTTTCTGGAGGCCGTATTAATTCAGAAAATTCACTTCAAATCTTTCTAAAATCACACAGAAGCTGAGATTTGGGCATCTCCTAAATTCTGTGGCCACTACATCCACTCGAAATTCAGATGGTTTTTACTACTTTGCACATACTAAGCAATATATTTACATAAATCATATTCAGTATTAGACTGGAGTAGAAAAAATATGGTACAAAGAAGGAGAATTTTTTTCTTAGAATTCAGTCCTTATCTGAGGAAGTAGAGCACAGCTCTTGGCTTCCAACTGCTTGCTACTGTTTTAAAAATTACTTATGAAAACAACAAAGAAGTTTTAAAATTATCCATGTGTGCAGAAGTTTACTTGTCTGGCCTGACAATCACAGAAAAGGAAGATTTTTATTAAAATTAAAGCTTGTTGGCAAAACCACAGCTGTTGCTCACAGCATGTTTTTTGCTTAAACCCAAGAATCTTCGGCACAGATTTGTTTTCTAAACATGGCAAAGATTCAATAGTGTCTTATTCTGCAGCCAGGGGTATTACAGTAGAATCTCACCTTAGTGGCTGAGCTGTCAGAAAATAAACTGCCTTGTTCTGACAATCACAAAGAAAACCCTACAGCTAACTAAGCAGCCCTCTTGACATTTGTTTGACTATCACGCCCACCAGCAGCATGCGAGGGGCACGGGCACACCCCCCGTTCCTCCAGCCTTGCCTGTTGCCTCCCGACAAGCTGGCAGGTCCCTGCAGACACTGTCCATGGCTGTGTGTGCTCCAGAGGGACTGCGGAGGCACCACAGCAGGGGCCGACTCTGGTGGCATCCTGGGGTGTGGGACCCTGAGGGATAAGCTCAGTTCTGCACATCTCAGGGGGTGCAGAGAAACAGACTGGGTTCTACAGAGCAGAAGGGTGCCAGAGAGATGAAAAAAGAGGAAACAAGGGATAAACTCTCAAAAAGCTGGGCTGCTAAGTCTTTGTGAGCAAAGTGTACTTGTCTCCATACCTGTAGCAAGGAGATGCTCCCTCCACAGCGAGAAACGCGAAGTAGCGATGCCTGCTGCCCAGCCTGGAACGCTTCTGATGTTTGTACTCACAGCAGCAGCTCAGCCTGTCCACCTGGATCCCGTTGAGGAAAAAGGTGAGGCTGAAGGGGAAGCCATGGTGCCTCTTGGAGACGAACTGAAAGGTCTCTGGAATCACAGAAAGAAAAGGGCTCCAAGAAAAACGTCCTGCTCTACTGTGAGCCTCCTGCAACGTCTGTACCTCATCTGCACCACTGCTAAAGCACCCACCAACCCTCTGAGGTCAGGTACTTTGGTTCTCAGCTGTATTAATCAGTTGGTAAAACTCTGCCTCCTCCCCACACAACAGCTTGGTCTCTTTCCCACCACAGAGCACCCCAGTGACAAGCAAATACATCGTCGGTTTGGCCACTCGCTGCCCCAGCAGAACCGAGTCCAGAGCCTCCCGACCCAGAAAAATTAACTCTGCCCCTGGCTTCCAGGAGCACCCACTGCCCAGCGAACAGGCAGGAGTGCCAGGGTGTCTGCACGGGCCGTGCAGCAGCCTCACAGAGCTCCTGGCACAGCCAGGCTCCAGAGCGCTTGGTCCTGCCCACAGAACAGGGAGCAGCTGAGAGATGCTGTTCCTGGAGCCACTTCAGGCTACTCTGCACCCAGGCCTCAAGGGCACTGAGGCTGCTGCCCAGCTCCATGCCAGGAGGGGACTGGGTTGCACTCCCTTAACCCACAGTTTACTGCTACAGCTACTTTATTAACCATATGTCTCTATAGAAGATTCATCTAACCTTCAGTGCTTGGTTAAAACAGCTCTCTAAATTCCTTCTATCATAAATTGCAAAAGTCATTGTAACTTCACTTTCAATCACAAAAGAGTAGATGCCGATTTAGTGGTATAAAAATCCCTGGATGCACACATCTTGACTGAGCTCAGCTGAAATCATTCTGGTATCACACAACTTCTTAGCCAAAAAAAAAAAGAAAAAAAAGTTGCCAGAATCCATATGAACTCTGACTCTTCATCCTTACCTCCCTCCAGGAGCTTGCCTTTGTAGACACAAAGGTTTTCTCCTCCACAATGCTGCTGGTAGACTTTGATTTCATCTCTGTAATCCGTGTCATCATGAGATAAATGCACACTTTTTCCTAGGAAGACCATGGTCACAAATACATTGCTGCGTAACGAGGGCTTAGGGAATCCTCCAGAATTCTGCAGGAGACAGACAAAAAAATTATTCAGCTTCCAAATCCAGCAAAAGGTGAACACAAAGTTCACATATGTGCAGAATACACTTGGGATTTCTGGTCCTTCAAGACAGGCCTTGAGCTTCTGAAGTTGGAAAGTATTTTATAACACGCAGAAGGGCAGGAAAATATTTCAAACTCAAAATGCATTGCACTGAACTGCCCAAAAACACATGGACCATGTTTAACGACCCATACTGTCCCTCCCAGTCCCAGGTTCTTATATTTTCTCTACAGGACTAAAAATTGGCTAAAGATCTAGTGTAACAGATGAAGTTTTCATACACTCAAGGCATTTCATTTATCCCTCCCAAGTTCTGCTGCTAGATATGCTCAGAGATGGGATCAGACTGAGTAAAATGGAAGGGTGTAAGAAAGAGTTCCCACAGGCATTTTGTCCAAGCACCTTTTCCTCCCAGCTGATGAAAAATGTCAAATGTTTTAGCATATAGAGAGATAGGTGGCAGCTACACATTTTAATAGTTACACACTGCCTGTCGTTCAAGAATCCAGTGAATCTTTGTGCAGACTAGTGTGCACATCTTTCAGCACGAGGCACACACCCCAGTGAGGACACACAGCCCAGCAGGCAGAGAACTGACCTTTGCCAGAGGCTGCTCTGTGTCACTTGGTGCCGTGGTGGGACGAAACCGTCTCCCTCTGGGCATCCCGCCCCTGGCGGCAGCCACGCTCCTGTCTCCCTTCTGCAGGGGGGGAGGTGGCACTGGCACCGCAGCACTGTGGATGACGGGGAGCTGGTAGGGGGATCTGCCCGTCACATACTCCATTGAGTTCATAAGTCTTGGCCCACTCCTCTCCCCCTGAGAAAATATTTTAACCAGGTTCAGCCGGGTATGCAGAAACAGCTGCTGCACATGCTGGCCCAGCCACGAGCTGACTGCTCTCTACAGCTGGTAAGACAATGTGAGAAACGGGTGCCTCACACACTGTGTTTCACACACTTCCAGGACAACTCCTTCACCTGGCACTTGCAGTTTTGTTCATGAAAACATGAACAACAAATTTCTGCACCAAAACTTTCTTTTAATTTGCAATGTAACAGGGAGATTGCTTGAAAATGTCCCCTGATAGACACACGCACCACACTGCAAGCCACGCACTACTCGTAAGCATGCTGAGCTCTGATCACAAGCAGACAGAACACTGCAGAACCCCAGCCCTGCTGTGCTCTCTCAGCTGGCGAGCAAATTCCAAAGTAGCCAGAATCTTTCAACAGGAACACCACTTGCCATCAATTATACAAGATGTGGTTCAAAACGCTTCTTTCCTGTTTGTGGTGGAGGTTTAGTCCTCCTTCAGGATGAAATGCAGGGGACCAGAGCCCTGGAAAGCAGGACATCTCTAGAGAATAAGATCTGCAAACGTTGCATGCTCTGGATCTGAGCTCTGCATCATGTTTTCATAATCTAGGACTAATTTAGCCATTTTGTCAGTAGTGAGCATTAAAGAAACTATGTAAATCACCCATTTTTTGAGTAGACATAGACAATTCCAGAAAATTGTTGGAGAAAGGTGACCATCACAATGGAGAGCAAATGCCCAAGAGAAGGGAGCTATTCATACAGTGTCTGCCAGTCAGTGGTAGCATTTTTCCTGGCTGTGATCAAGAACTGGGCATTAGTCCAGTAAAACAACGTCTTGGAAATTCAGGGGAGGTTACAAAGGAGTGTTTAAATGCAAGCTGATAACGCTTTGGAAGGTGAGTTGTCCGCAGCATGCAGTTCTGGGAGCTATGGTACTAAAGCAGTATTATAAAGCTGTCTCTGAGATTTTTTGCAGAATTCAACACGGCCTCACCCCAGTGGCAAACTGCTGATCATGTTCAGGTGCATGGCACCTTCGTTTAGAGATGGAAGTCTTTGGTACAGAGCCCACAGCAGCAGAGCTGCGAAGCGGCTGGAGGCGCTGCGGGTGCTGCATGTTTCCTGGGGCTGTACTGGGTCGCCAGGACATCTGGAAAAGGAGAAAGGAAACAGCTACAAAACCTCACTGTGTAGTTTCCAGTGCAGAGCAGCATCATGAAGGAAGGACATCAGCACTGACAACAATAATTGGAAGTGATGAGTGATTCTCAGGTACCTTCAGGAAATGAAATTTTCTGCTAGACCCCTTTAGACATCTCTGATTGAGCATCTGAAAACTGGGGCACACAAAATAACCCTTGGCCATAAACACAGGTTAAGCTGGTGCAGCCCTGGAGCAAAAGGCTGCATGAACTCACAGGAGCTGTAGAAGTATGCTGTGACTTCAGCACATGGGCACTGACAGGACACATGACAAAAGCATGCCTATTTTTGTTCAATACTCAGCATTTTTCTGACTTACTTATCTCATCTTTTCCTTGTATACCCTCCAGAATACCAAAACCTGAAAAACCTGTTTCACTGACTTAACTCACCATCTTAGAAGTGGCAGGCTCCTTGGGTTGGTGTTGATGAGAGGGATGTCCACTACTATAACCAAGGACGGGTCCCAGTGCCCTCTGTGTAGAGAGGAGAATGTCATCCAGGACTGAAAGTCCTCTTCAGACTGCACCCATTATCATTATCGAAATGGAGAACCAGTTAAAACTGAACTATATATCTGACCTTAGACTTTAGTATTTAATTTCAAGAGTATAGTAACATTCTTTTTCTACCTGTTAACAGAGAGTAAGTGACTTCTGAGCCAGAGCTCCAGAGCAGAGCCTTCTGGAATGAGCTTTGCTCTTGTTGCACCCCTTCAGCTCTGTTTTCTGCAAGACCTCCATGGCTTCCAGGATTTTACAGCATGTGTAAACTTGCCTACAGCCACAGTTTTCATTGACAATTCTCAGTGTGCTGGTAACAGCTAACCTGGGCTGCACATAAAGTGGAAAGATTAAAGCAGACCTATCACAAAGCAAAGCTATTTTCTTCAGGTTCTGATGTGCAATTCCTGCCACATTGGCTTCTCCAGATTTCTCTTCAATGACACAGTCCTGCAAAGGGAACTCAGCCTTCCTGAGGTGGAGCAAGCAGGGCAGTCAATGCCCAGACTGAGCACAGCTGTCTGAGGTACCCGTGTGTGCTGCCAGCCGGGTGTGCCCACAGGACAGCCCGTGGAGCCCCTGTGAAACTCACCGGCTGCGGGGGACCAGCTGGACCTCCAGCCACTGCAGCATGGAGCCCATAGTGACTTCTTGGACCAAGGGGGGGATGTGGGGAGTGCAGAGGGCTGGCAGCCTCCACTGATCTTCTGGAGGGTTCCACCTAAAAGAACAGAAATTCAGGTCTCAGAAGCATGAAACACTCTGACAGCACTGCTTGAGCTTGCCTTCCACCTGTCCTTCACTGGCCAGCTGTGACAATCAGCTTGCCTAGACCCAGTGGAATACCTGGGTAAGGAAGGAAAGAAAATCACAGGGAGAATGAGAGAGTGAATTTTTCCCACCTCTGATTCATCTTCCTGAAGCCCTCTCCAGCTGCTGATCTCTCCCAGATTCAACTCATCTGCCCAATTCTGTGTATCTCCCAATTCTTGGTTTGGTTGAGGGTCTCCTTCCTTTTTAAATCTGAGTGCATCTGCCACTTCCTTGCTCAGACTGTTGTCTCTCCCTACCTTTTCTTCTCAAAAGATCCACGTTGGGCTGACTAACCTTCTGGAAATAGATAGCTCTGTCCATCATCCTCCCTTGCCCAGTCATTTGTCCTTCTCCTTTCCTTTTAGATTAGCTACTCAGCCAAGCTCACCGAATGTATGAGGTGAGAATTAAATTACACTGCTAATTCCTGCCAGGGTCCTGTGTCCCAGTATGGCATCGCAGCAACGACATAGATCACATATCTGCAGGTGTCTCCCTTATGCTTCTCACTGAAGGAAGCAGTTTGGGTTGATGTTCTAAAGTGATCCAAGCCCAGAACCCCCTGATGGGGTGCCTTGCTTGGCCTTGACAGGTCACTGCTTCCAATGTGGTGACCTTCTACCAGCAAGAGTTCAGTCAGTGAACAATGCCTCTGCACTGACCCTAGGGACCAGTGTGCTTCATGAAAATCTCCTCCTTTCTTTAACTGATAAATCACACATAAATGGATTATTCAAAATTAAAATGATTTTACACTGTTTTTCAACTGCTCAAAGAAACAGCCAGCTTCTCAATGCATTCCTCACGATGTATGCAGGCTCTTAACAAAGAAATCAGATGCTGAGTATATTTCAGCCAAAATGAGAACAACTTTCCCCTAGGAGTCCAGGTGACTTCATGGGGAGAAGAACCATTGCCTTCTGTGGGGTTTCTATGACTCCAACAGCTATGGCATCAAGCTCTACCAACATGACACTAAAGTGAAGACTTATGAAACCTCTTTTCATTACTTACATGCTGGTTCTGCTAAATATCACATGGAGAGGCAAACAGCTGAAAATGTGAGCTCAGGGCTCAGCAGCAGTCAAAGGCAGACAGTGTCTAGAATTACAAGAACTTCAACACGTATCTTGAATTATTGATGTGGTTCTGGTTCCCCATTTCAAAACAGAAATGGTAGAACTAGAAATGGCAACAGTAATGAGAAGCCTGGAGTAGCTCATGTGTGAAAGACTCAATACAATGAGAGTCTTCAGCTTGGAAAACTGCGAAGGAATATGAAAAAAGTATGTAAAACCACAAATGCTTTGGAAAAGGAGAACAATTATCAACTTTTTTTTGTAATGAGAACAATGGAGCACCAAACAACACTATCAGACAGCAGATACATTAATTAATTGTGCATAAATGCAAGCAAGTACCAGTTCAGACAACTCATAATTAAATTCCACAGCCAAGAACACTGCAGAACCGAAATAATACATAGAATCAAATGAAAAGGAGTTAGGTGCATGAATGGAAGTTCCTGAGCTGACAGACAGAGGGCAGGATGATCCTCTACTTGCCTGTTTCTTGTACTTTTCCATAAACAGGAGAGTCAGGACACTTGGCTCAGTGAGTCTCTGGCCTGACGCATGGCTTTTAGTTAACACAGGGCAAAACTGCCAGATACCATCAGTACGCAGCAGCACTGAAGCCTTACCTTGATTTTCTGCATCCTCTCCTTCCTCACAGAGTTTTCCAGTTTCCTTTTAATTCCCAGCTGATGATGACATTATTAATGTAAGAGAAAGAGAAATCTATTAATGGACATTATGAGATGTCAGTGAATGTCAGGACACTTGCTTCTGTTCTGCCTATCACTTGCCTGCTCCCTGGTCATTACCTCCACTGCATCCTGTTATAAAATTTATCTATTTTAAACTCAATTATTGATTCAATCCATTTCCATCACACATATGTTAACACTGGCAAGGGAATGACTCTGCATTTGTACAGCTGCAGGAACCAACTCCATTCCTGACAGGCAACAGGAAAGCATCCAAATGTTGTACTCAGTTAAGATGAATAACCACGTTCACACTATTTTGTTTTGACTGGATTTTTTTTAGGCCAACTAGCTCTGTGAATATCATCCCATAATCTGAAGACTGCTGGAAAGCAGTGTGCCAGGACAGTGTGTGTTCTAGTCACATGGTGGTTTAACACCTTGAGGCCACGGCAGGCTTCACATGGGGACATCAAGCACAAAGATTGTCCTTTTTCCCAGCAGGAGAGAGTCTTTTGGGGAAACATGAGGGCACAGCTATAGAAAACAGTCCAGTACGAGTTAACAGGCACAGGCTGTCCGTGGGGAAGTATCTAGGGAGGCTCAGACATCACCAGTAAGCACACACCTCCATGTCAAGGACCTTATGGAATATGGCACGAGCCAGGCACTCCTGTACGTATCTTTGGTGATCCCTCCTCAGAGCATTTAGCCGGTATTCCTTCTCAGGTATTATTCTTCCACTCCTCGAGATCTGCCATAAGCAAACACAAGGTCACTAACAGGGAGGAGACAGCACGAGGCATGTTTCTAAGCAGAGTGCAATGTCCCAGGAAGGCTGCCTCCTCCTCTGTCAGCTATGGCACGGTGCTGGCACGCACCCTCCCAGCACAGAGCTGAGGTTCCTTTGGCACCGTGGGCCCCAGCAGCCAAAGGAAGAGAGCAGGAGAGCAGCAGCCAAGTTTCCTGATAGCTGAGGGCCGAGACTCACTCTTCATGGGCCATTGCCCAAGTCAGTGGGGGGAATTAAATACTTGCCTTCCTACTTCTCCAGGGCTGCACCCGCCTGTGCTAAACACAGCCACACCTAGGAGTGCACAAGTGTTCTTAAAATCCTTCATTCTTCCATGAAACACTTTTGTAAAATAACACTGAAGCTATCTGAGCAACTAGTAGAGTCAAAGATGCTTAGGTTTCACAGTTTAAAAAAACTAAGAGCATCAATATGATTCTGTATATTTGTAAATCAAAAGATTCTGCAGAGGCAAACTCCAATGAGCTGATAAGAAACTAGGAGCAAAAACATAAAAACATTCTGAATTTATCAAAATCTTGCCATGAAGTGTCTTCTTGCCTGGATGTGAAACACAAGCAGATTGACAAGCACTCTCACATGACTGTAACTGTGCAGTAATACAGTGCCACATGTAATAACTTCCTGGCACTGCAGTGCTGAGCAGAAGCCCAGGCTCAGCCAAGGCCCTCCAGTACTCACATACACAACCAGCCCCTGTCACCCACCCGTCCCAGCCACACACCGAGGAGCAAAGGTGCAGTGGAAGTGTCAGTGTGACATTCTATGGAGTACAGCTTGCAAACTGGCTGTCAGCACATCACTTCTAGAGTGCAATCACCATCTACCAGCAGCCCACATGCCGGCACCTTCATAGCCCCAGGTGGCTCTTGGACCTTGACGTCCTGAAACACCCTCAGTGCCAGCTACAGCATCTCCTCAGCTGTTACCAAGGTCTTCAAAAGCCACTGGGCACACAGCAGGAAGCTCCAGGCTGTTTCAGCCCTTTCTGTCGTGCCGACTCCAGCAGCACAGCCCTACACACCGTGTCCCTGTGGTACCCCCCTGACCAACAGGGGATCACCAGGCTGCAGGAACACTGTGACAAACACACCCGCCCTGCTCACAGGGTGAGCATGTGGCCTGGATCTGACACAGCACACTGGCTGGCTGGCCAGATTCTTAGCAGCGACCACACGCACCTCTAACAAACAACAGAACCATCAGCTGTTTGACTCGTGCAATATTAAAAGAAACAGAGAATTCTTTTCCTCTTTTGCTCAGGGGAAGGAACTCTTTGCTCTCACCAGCCCGGATCGCTGGAGATGTCGCCTTATCCTGCTGTTGCTGAAATACCCAGCCAGGTGCTTGTCCGTGAGGCTGTTGTAGGTTGCAAGATATCTGAAACAAAATCAATTATTAAAAATACTAAATCAAATTACTATCATGGGTGCAAATCATTCTGATGAGGACTCCTTATGTGTGTTCTGAGCCAAAGAATCCTTCAATATCCACTGTTCCACCCACTTCTTTACGGTGCTTCCCTCTAACGCTCCCACCATGAATTTTGGGGATCAAACTCATCACCTGGAGCACCTACACAGAAAACTAACTGGCTTCCATTTCAGGCATCAAAAAATACACTTCTTAAGTCTCCCCTCCTATTTCGAACCCTTTTCTCAACTGCGGTTCCGAAACGCGCCAG